ACAATAACAGCAACAACAGCAGCAACGCGCCCAATGGTGGGAGGGGAGGCGTGTTTAAGGTGCATGATGTCAACCGGAATCGCCACATGAGGAGCATGTTTTAGATAGATTACGACGAACGGGGAAGCGTCATTGGAGGGGGGCATATTGAAGATATATGATGAGCCGGAATCGCCACATGAAGAGGTGTGTTTAAGATGCATGATGAAACTGCATCGCCAAATCAGGGGGCATGCTTAAGACATATGATGAACCGGTCTCGCCACATGAGGGGCGTGTTGAAGATGCATTATGACTTGTAATCGTCCATTAGCTTGGGCACAATGACTAATTACTGGGCGTGTGCGCGGAGTGACAGAATCTAGATCATCAAGCATCTTGGGTAGCCAGGCCTCACACCTTGAGAGACATGTTTTTTGGACATCGCTTGGCCAAAAGGCCGTGGGAAGTCCATGTCAACGCAAGTTTTGGATTGATGCCGTATCAGGCCACAGCCTACTGTAGCCGCATGGCATCGATGAGTTTGCATCCATGTAGTTAGTGTGTGCAGTAGCAGCGAATATTGGGGCCTAAATAGCTACCAGTACTATTTTGGGGGTTCCTTATTATAAGTACAGTAGAATATACACCAAAACCCTGTTCTAATTATTAAGGCTTATTCAGGTCCCTATATTAGCCACTTTTAGAAAGTCAGTGCCAAGTTACGGGCCGAAGCATTTTCCGCAGTTGCATGCCTGTGCTGAGCCAGGGCCCAGGACAGCACGGCGACGTGCGACTGGCAGCCAGACCTCGACATGTTGCACGGCCAGAAAGGTCGTGAAATCGCAAGCTATCTGCTGTGCTGCTCAACGACTTGCATTGCTATTGCCTTCACGTGAAAAAACTTCCTCACGCAGCAGGTGAGCGCTGCCGGAGAGCCTCGCCAGAGCCGCTGCCCCAGCTGATGCCCCAGCTGATGCCCAAGACGGATTCCACTCCTCGGTGCTGGCAGAAATTCACAAAGAAGCTGCACAGCCGTAGAGTCTAAGTTCTGGTGATGTTATACATTCTGAACTCGACTGAATTTTCGGCATTGTTTTTAGACTGATACTCGTATTGCTGGAATTATTGGAAACAATAGATTCGAGATCTGATAATATTGTACGGTGGTTCAGTGCTTGCTTCAGCTATTGGGGTGTAGAGTGCTGCTGTTGAGATTCATGGTTCAGGGTATCCGTGCCAGTTTCACTTGAGATTTGCACGGGCCACATGAATGCGTGAAATCGGAGGCAAAGTCCGTGCCAGCCTGGAATTCAACATATGCTCGCCGCAGAATAAGAAATTGATGCCGGCTGCATGTCGCCGTGCTGGTGCCTGCACTGTGCAGTACTGTGCTTTCATCAGAGCTCGAGTCTGCGCCCAAAGACCAGAGCCCCCGCAGGCCCGTCCCTTGTACTTTTTAATCTTGAGAGTTTCGTGGACTCAGCAGCACCACATGTGTGACCTTTTTTCAATTCAGCGACTGTTGTTTGTTGAATCCATCAAACTTCACACGCAATGGTACAAACGGAATGTTCCATGAGTGCTGTGTCTAGCTTAGCAAATATACGCTGTAAGATGTGGGCCTCCATGGGCCCGCTGTGATATGGTTTCACGTCCTGCCGGATGGGCGGGCGATGGGGCGGGTGCAGCTCTATCTGTTCGTGGCTGTGCTGGGCATGATGCAGGCAGGCTTTGAGGTAGTTGTGTGTCACTGAGGTGACAGTTTTCACAAAACGAGGGACCACAATTATGCAAAGACAAAACTACGACAGTTAACTCGGCATTTTGGTGGTTCAACTTGCTTTCTGCGCAATTGGGACATTCGTCAATTCCCCAACTGAATAAGTATCAAGGCAGCAGAAAGCAGCAACACAAGATTTGGAAAATTACTAAGTCACAAAGAGTTGATGCCCCGCAACCTCACACCTTGCCAAACCCGAACCCCTCAAACCCGTGCAGGTGCTACTACTGTTTGCGGGGCCTCGGTCAAAATCCGATGGCTTGGCTGGAACCGCTGCCAGCAACACCGGTCACGGGCAGAACCCAAGGCCTCTTGGATTTGGCGTTCTGTTGGGCACTCCACGCGGCTTCTAGTCCCGAACCCGCAGACCATCATGTCCCATCCTTTCGTACTTGTTGTTTTCGCCGATAATGCCCGTGTCTTCCTCGACGCCTTAGCACCCGGTTCTTGGTCGTCGGTCCCGGTTTTGCATGGCGAATCTCACCACTTAGGCTTATAGGCATCGGGTCTTAAGCCGTACTATGCACCCCTCACGCGCTTTGCTCAGGCAGTCCAAAGAAGGCTTGCAGTGGTGTCCGGACTGCAGAGGCGAGCTGCCCCTTCGATGCAGTCATGGGGTCTGGTTGTTCAGGGTTTGTGGGGGATTGAGGTTGCTTCTTCGTGCCAAGTCCTATCTTTCAAGATTTCAGAGGGACCCGAGTGCTTGAAATCCTCGTTCCTTACACCGCATGAACTTGTTCACATCAGGAGTCTTGCGGATCTACTGGCCTTTATCAGCAACATTCTTCAGATCGCCCTATCTTCTGAGAGCATTCAAAGCCAAGGTGCGCTCGCAAATTTCTGTTCATCGTGGCGACTGGCAGATCAGGTTCATCAACGTTGATGAACATGGTGAACCAAGTTTCTAGACTGCATTGCATCTACGACAGAGCCGATCATCTATAGGACCCTGATTCAGAAACCCTGGATCTTGTCTATTTAGGGTATTTTATATGAATCCTAATGCGTTATGGTTATAGGGCCAGGGTTTCATCCAGGTTCTTGCAGCATTCTAGACTTTAGACTACATCCTGAACCATTCAGCCGCAACGCGCTGCAACGCCCTACAAGCTGCAGGCAGATTTGTGATTGCGCTTTCATGTTTTGCTTAGCATTTAGGATTCGGGATTTGAGTTTATCTTTCTGCATGCTAATAGGTATGCTGTGTGATAGAGGTCAAGGTCATACAAAGGTTCTGTATTAGCTTCGCAGTTTCGGTTCAAGGCTTCAGCGCTTACATCTGGACGCTCAGGAGTGCCAGTGTTAACGGCTTAGAATGTTCTTGGGAGCTTCTGCGGACGTCCGAGGTCCCTGGCATCTTCCTCTGGGGGGAGAACCATGGCGCCTTGGGAGGCATCGCCGGCATGCAAGAGAGGTTCTTGAAGGCTGGGCAGGATTCCTCGGACGCGCGACGCGTCGAGCTGTTGCAGAGCTCCCAGGACGGCTGGTGGTAGCAGGCTCAGAGTTTAAGGCAGGGTTTACTTCGGCATGTCGGGCTTCTTGCAGGACGTCGTGTGGGAGTGGCTTACCCCACCCACCTTCCAGAACGATTGGAAGAGGGTGGAGGTCCGTGGCTTCAAGGAGATCAGATGGAATGAGACCATGGTGCAGTTCATCCGCAGGTGCCGATGCCTCTATCCGCCAAGCCTTGCTTATGACACCATGAACCCTAAGCCACGCACTGCATCTCCCTCTTGCCCCTAAACCCTAAACCCTAAACCCTAAAAGACAAGACAAAACTCGACAGCTCTTGCCGACCTGCAGATCCCTCCCGTGCAGCCGGCTGATCTTCAACTTCCGACTGGACGTAGACGCTCGGCCCAAGGAGTTTTTGCCTTCTCCAAGAGGGTAGGAAGGATAGGAAGGACAGGGTCATGATCGGCAAGAGCAACAATGGCCACAAGGGTCAAGGGGAAAGAGAGGAGTGACGGCCTAAGAAACTGCCGTACTGTTCACAAGCAGAGACCGTCGCAGCATTCACCGTCATGAGTAGGGGTTCCTTCCCGGGTTCCTTCAAGGTGGCTTTCAAGGGAACCAAAAACCCCAAGCCCTTGTTCCTCCCTGCAAAAGGGCCACCAAGAACAAACTCTGAACACTGAACCCTAAGCCCTAAAGGCTGACGGGAAAGAACTTCAAGCTTCTCGGGAGCCCGAATCCTCATGAGCCTCAAGCTTATGGTCAGAGAAGTCCGAAGCTCTAAAGTTGATGTTGAGACACGACAGTGCGGCATGATGTATTATAACACATCGTCATACTAAAGTATACGGTGATCTATATATATATACGTATATATATATATGTATATATATATATACATACCACAGTATGCTACCTTCCTTCGCCACAGGAAGCTCAGAGCCATTCGGACTTCTTCAAGCGCAAGCAGCGGAAGCCCGGTGCAGAGGTGCTGCAGCTGATGGTCTATCGTTTAGGGGGTTTGGGGGATGTAGGGTTTGGGGTTTAGGGGTTTTAGGGTTTAGGGTTTGGGGATGTTGGGTTTAGGGGTTTAGGGATGCAGGGTTTGGGGTTTGGGGTTCGTAGAGGGTTCCTGGACGCGGAAGCCCATGAACCCTGAGCCCCAAAAAACCCCAAACCCTAAACCCCAAACCCTAAACCCTAAGCCCTAAACCCTAAGTTGGAACCCTAAACCCTAAGCCCCAGATCCTAAGCCCCAGACCCCAAGCCCTAGACCCTAAACCCTAAACCCTGAGCCCTAAAGGAACCCCAGAGCCGAAGACTTGGGATCCAGGGCAGGTAGGCCTTTGGGATATCTGTTATTTTCCCTTTTTGGGCTTAAGAGGACCCTATTTACTAGTATTGTTCCCTAAACCCTAAACCCTAAACCCTAACCCTGAACCCTAAACCCTAAAACCCTAAGCCCTATTTACTCATAGTGTTCAGCGGCTTTAAAGGGTCAACCAGCTCAGGCCCTGTCGACCATCACTGACAGGGCGGCGGCCTTGGTGACGCGTTCAGGTCCCTTGCAGCTTCGGGGTTTAGGGTTTGGGGTTTAGGGTTTTGGGGTTTTAGGGTTTAGGGTTTGGGGCTTAGGGCTTGGGGTTTGGGG